CAAAGCATCCATCCAAGCTAGCAATGAAATCTATCATTAATCAAACAGGAGAGAGGACTGGGCTGGTGGGGGAGGCGCGGGGGAGGAGGGGGCTCCTGGAGGTAAAGAACCAGTCAGGAAACTGTTCACAGGATGAGTGACAGATGATGAGGGCCTGGGCCAGGCAGTAGCCATGGAGACGGGGGCAGAATGGACAGAAAGCAGTGATAAGAGAGCTGTGACAGAGAGAAAGTCACAAGACATGGTTGGAGTTGAATATGAGGAGGTGGAGAGGGCGAGGAGGTGACAGTGATTCTCTGGTGTCCAGCTTGCCCGTGTGGACGTCAGCGGTGCCAGGACTGAGGCAGGGTATGCAAAAGGAGGAACGGGTTGGGGAAAAGATAGTTCCGTTTTCAATACCTGTGATACTTCTGCATGACTAAGATTTGGTAGGTGATTGGATTTGGAGCTCAAGAAAGGACCAAACTGAAGGTAGAATTTGTGAACCATCAGCAGACAGATGGAAGTTGACCCCAGATGCTAGGTGAGAGCCTCCCGGGTGGAGCACTCAGCCTGAGGGAGAGGCTGGAAGAAGGCTGAGGGGAGGAGCGGTTAGAGGCTGAAACCCCAATCTGGGGAGGAAGGAGGAGCAGACAGAGGCTGATGGCACTGAGGCCAAGGGAAAGTGCAAAGAAAGGAGAAGCCCAGCGCATCAGATCCAAGAATCAGGTAAAATGAAACACAGCGGTGGCCAAGGCACTTGGCAGTTGGGATCCGTGGGGTGGCCTTAGCAGGTGCAGCTTTGGGGAAATGTTGTGGCCGCCAAACACTGCAAGAGAGGCCAGCCCATGGCATCCTGGAGGGGAGTGAGAAGTGTGGCCTGAAGGAAAGGGGCAGGGGTTGGCGGAGCAAAGAATGAAGGATGGGTAGATACATGCTTGTCAAGCTCACATTATGGGATTTGTTGGAGGCCGGCTCCGACAGGTCCAGGGGTCCCTGAAGGATGGACGGTGTCGGCGAGAGAGAGAGAGTGAGAGCCCCGAGATTCTTTCTGATCACCAGGCAGGCATCTCTGTCCTGTTGGTTTTGGTGTCTTTATTTAAAGGTTCAGTAACTACATGAGGTCAGAGAAAGGAATTTTTACAATGGGAAGCCTTTTGCGATAACAAGTTTTTGATATTCTGTAGAATTATCCCAGTCATAGTGAATTTACAACCAAGGAATTAACAGGATGCTCTTAGTGAAAAACAGGATAACATATAGGTTAAATTGTATATAGGTAAGCTAGGAGTCATTCTGTCTGGCTCTCAAGAGGATGAATGTTTTGAACTGGTTTGTGGAGACCTATTTGATGCTGAATGTGTGAACACCGTGGGGGCCCTAAATGTGTTAACCTTTTGCTTTTGGGTTAGGTGTTAACTACTCTTATCTATCCACATTCCAGCTGCCAGTAGGGGAGGGTGTTTGTGGAATGTAGGCCTTGGGGAAGGGACTGCCATACGTCACCAGTTAGAAGAAGGTGTAAGTGTTAACTTAAGTTCTGCCCCCGTTTGTTCCTAAACTCTAAATTAGGCCCTTTGTCTGGGGGGGGGGGGGGCAGGCTCAATTGTCTTTGATCTGCAAGGCCCATAGGAAGAGGCTTTTGACAATCATCCACAGAGCTTTTATCTAAAATCTCTTTTGTAAAGGCAGGAATATACTTTTCCTTATGAGGTATCTGTGTTCAGAATATAGGTCTGATATGGAATACTGTGAGGCCTGGTCAATACCAGCAGGCTTATTTCCAACATGAGCCAGTAGTAGTAGAAGGAGATACCAGTTTTCGTTTCTCATGGTAGGAGCTGTGCAAACACTGCCATTTCCTTGCTGTGACTGCCATCCAGAGAGACCGGTGGGGCTCCCGGCAGGGATTCTTACACTCTATATTCCATTCTTTTCCATCTTTCTACAGACCCTCCGAATGATCATTTTTATGACTTTACCATGATCATAGGTGACATTTAATGAATATTCTTTATGAGCTAAGTATCTAGCTTCAGTATCTGATTGGGGAGACACCTAATAGGGTAGATAGTACCATTGTGTCCATTTTAAAGATGAGAAAAGTGAGGCCTAGAGAGATGAAACAGCTTGTCCACGCCTGCAGAACTGGGAGGGCCAGACCCCAAATACAAACTCAGGCAGTCTGAATCGTCACTTTGGACTTGAATATCACGCTCTGACCTGTTGCCACAAGAAAACCTAACTTACTACCGATTCTCGTGGTGTTATACGCATCCAGGTGGTCTGTGCTCTTTTGCCCTTTCTGTAGCTTTAGCTTTAAGTTTCTGCAAATATTCTTCCTGCTCCATCTTATTGCTCCTCATTTGTCAAGCAGTTGAGTGATTAGCACACAGAACGCTGTGGGTGGGCTGATTTACAAGGACAAATACTGAGAGTCCCCAAAAGAGGGAAAGAAAAAAAGGCATTTGTCCAGGAAATCCACCTGGTTTTATCCTGAAATATAAATGCTTATCCCAAAGAGCCTTCAAGGAAAACACTTAACTGATGATTGAAATGGTTTCATGCAGAAAAACGTGCTGAACCCAGCAGCCATCCCCTCCAGCTTTCTAAAGTCATTTCAAAATGTTTTTAGAGGCTTTCGTAAATACTTTGCCAAAAGAGATGAAAAACATAACACTTAGCAAGACAAAGTTTAACCCACAGAATTTGAGCAACAGTTGATAGAAGTTCAAGAGCACACTTTGTTTGAATCTAACCCACCAGAAAACAATGTCAGAACATGAAGTCTTCGAGATGATGTTCTTAAATTGATGCTTCCGCTACAAAAGCTTTGTGTCAAGGAACTTGAAGTCTCTGGACTTGCCCAGCCCCTCAGCACCATCCTTCAGAGGCCTCTTCCAGATCAGTGTCTTCAAACATGCCTCACTGAGGCCCAGTAGGAAATACAGTTTGGCTCAGTATATACGTATATGTGCATTGAATGTGTACTAAAACACTCATCCATACACACATTTAACTGATAACAACCTTGTCACAAAATAATAGCTATCTTCGTCACGTGTAAGTGACTCAAATATTTTCTTTCCTATTCCATTTTATTTCTTAAGAACTCTGGCCCTGATACACAAAATTGTTTCATGAGGGACTGAAAAGTTGCAACCTACCATTTAGAAACCCTGTTTATTCTAAGAGCGCCTGGGTGGCTTAGTCAGTTAAGTGTCTGATGATCTCATGATCTCATGGTTCGTGTGTTCAAGCCCCACATCGGGCTCTGTGCTGACAGCTCGGAGCCTGGAGCCTGCTCCTGTGTCTGCCTCTCTCTCTGCCCCTCCCCCGCTTACGCTCTCTCTAAAAATGAATAAACATTAAAAAGAATTTTAGGAACTCTATTGTAAAGGATCTAAGTTCAAGTACTCCAGACAGAAGTTCTGCACAAGGAATATAACAGAAAGTATATGAGCTCTGGAATTCCACAGCCATGGGGTCCAATCACACCTCCAATTTACAAGCTGTGTGCTTTAGGCAAGTTAGTTGTTAGTCTGACCTTCCATTTCCTGTCCATAATCCTTTGGGAGTTTGGGAGAAGACACATGTGAAAGCACCTAGCCCAGCACTTAGTAGCACTGAATGCATGCATTCATCCAACCGGTATTTACTGAGCACCAGATGCTTTCCTAGGGCTGGGTGTACAGCAGCTAACAACCCAGTGACACCTCTGCTTTCATGGAGTTGGCATTCCAGGAGGCAGAAACAGACAATAGGCAAATAAACATAGACTATGTCAGGGATTAATAAAGGCTATATTCGTTTCCTATTGCTGCTGTAGCAAACTATCACTAATTTAGTGACTTAAAACAACACAAATTTATTATTTTACAGTTCTGGAGGTCAAAGTAGGTCTCACTGAGCTCAAATCAAGGCAAGCCCAGGGCTGCGTCTCTTTTGGAGGCTTTAGGAGAGAATCTGACTCCTTGTCTTTTCCAGAGACTAGAAGCTGCCCACACTCATTGGTTTATGGCCCCCTCCGCTCCCCAAAGCCAACAACCATGGGTTGAATCTTGCTCACGTGGAATCCCTCTGACTCTGTGTCTGTCCGCACAACTTCTCTGCACCCCCCCCTCCGCCTCCCTCCATCAAGGACCCACATATAGGTTACTTATATAAGGTCCACCAGTATAATCCAGAATAATCTCCCCATCTCAAGATCCTCTACTTAATCACATCTGCAAAGTCATTTGCCATGGCAGGCAACATATTAAGGGTTAACACTAAGAGCAGAGCTCAATAAATGTCATTGTTTCATTTTAGTATCTGTGGCAGGGGGAAGGAGCCTCCATTCAGCACGTCTAGGGGACGGAAATGGCCAGAGGCATTAGACTCCCTTCATCGAACGCTGTGAAAACTTCACTCACAGACTCACCCTTCTCAGATTCAACCAATTACCTACAATTCCAAAGGGGTTGTGATTTTGGGAATTCTGAGATTTGTGGTAATCTGTCCCTCGAGCCTGGGATTCCTAAGCAAGTCATAGATGCTCAGTGAGCCCAGGGATCTGCATCCCAGGGGCCTTTAATGGGTCTTGCCCCATCAACGTTTCTGTTTAGTAGTTGTCCTGAATTTGTCATCATTGTTTCATTTGTGAACTCTGGGCATGAAGTGGGAAGAAGAGGCTTTAGTGGAAGTTGAAAAGGCTGACTTTGGTGTGAGGGTGTGCCCAGAAATGTGGTAAGAGCAAAAGCGAAGAGCCCGAATGAACTTGTCTGCGTTTGCAAGTTGGGGACGGCACCGAAGTCTCAGGTATATCCTGCATGCACATCAGGGTCCTGTTACATGTCTCTCCTTCTACATCCCTGAAGCTCCCATTTTGAATTTTGGGTCACTTATCCTGTTACTACCACAGTGTCGGTTCACATGACTGAAGAAAGTATGGAAAGTTCTCCATGTCTGTGTTGGCCACTGCTTTGGTTTCATTTGTAATCTTGATGCATTTGGTGTTTTGTTTTGTTCTGTTTTTTCAGGGAAAACTGGATGCCTTGTGGGTCCTACTAAGGAAAGGATATGATCGTGTGTCTGTGATGCGTCCACAGCCCGGAGACACGGTAGGATTCATTAATGGTGTCATACACACAGTGTTTCTCTCTCTCACTCTGACTTTGATGAGCTAGAATAACTCCAGGTATATCAATCCAGCTGTTATTTCCTGTTGTGACAAATCAGATACTGATTGTCAAAATTCTGGGTTCTTTGCAAGACCTTGAGTGTTGACTTGCTTTTCTGGAAAGGATTTTGACAGAAATAGGTTGCGTTAAACTTCCTAGGACTTAAGCTTCTTATGTTATAGGTACACGGAGTGAAAGAGGCAGAGCTGGCCCTTCCCTAGGCTGTGCCAGGAGAGAGGCCTGCTGCCCCCCTGCAGTGGTGACCAACAAGATGCCAGAGCCAAAAGATGGGGCAAGGGAAAGGGGGCCGCAGAAAATCCACCCTCTTCTAGCAGGTGTCAGGCCCAACCGGTCCAAGACCTCAGGAGGTCCTTCTACCCTGATAAGGACTTGCCCCGAAACTGTCAGGCCAAACTTAGAGTGGCCAAACTTAGAGTGTCTCCAACTAAAAGGAAGCAGAAAGGGAAGAGTCAGCAGAGGCAACTAGGAACCATCTAGTCCGTCTCCATTTTGTGAATGAGAAAATGAAGGACGGGAGAAGCAGAATAACTTGTTCTGTTCCCAGAGTAACAGTGCTGGAAACAAATTGCGTTCTGCTGAAATCACATCGTTATTCTGTCTTCTCATAAGAGCTAGTCTCTCTTCCCTAAATTTTACAAAACAAAGCTTGGGACTAAATCCTCCCTCAACTACCAAAAAACTGTGTCTTCCATCCACTTCTCTGGATGCCAGGCACATTAACCCAAAAGCAAAATAAAGATGTCTGATTTGAAACTCCTTCCAAATCAGGTAGAGAACTTCTTTCTTGGCAGGAAATTCCAGGCAAGTTACTTAACTTCTCTGAACTCCCATCTTTATAAAGTAGATAATGCTGTGGCTGCTTGGAGAAGGTAATATTTGGAATGAATCTGGCCCAGTGTTGATCACCTAGGAATGCTCAGTCAGTGGTGATTATCATGATTATTTACTTCATGCTTTCCTACTGCCTGTGAAGGGCTGATACAAAAATTAAAAAGCATATTGCAACCGACGTGTATCAGGTAAGCTCACTGCTTTACTTACCCTGCCCACTGTTCAACACAGCATAGCTCGTAAAACACAAGAGCACAGCCTGTTAGGCAGGCCCCTCTTCCTTTGCACCTGATGACAATGGGTGGTTTGTGGCTGAGGGGATTTGGTCTAAAGTTTCATAGCCTGTGCAATTAGCTTTCCTGTCCACAGGTTGTGGCAGAAAGAAACCAGGTCATATAAATGCGGGGCTGACTTGGCCCTCATGGCACAAGGAATTTGTATTTTGTCTGTGGAAGTCAACAAGAACACACTGCAATGGCAGGTTTTAAAGTACAAACTCTACTTAACAAAAATGAACCCAGGCCATCAGCTTTGCACTCAGGGTGGTATTTGGCCTTATAAGTTATACATCAGGTTTCTGTGGGAAATTAAGAAATTTTTTAGCATACATGAGACTCATCTAATAGATCAAGAAAAAAAAAAAAAGATACCGTAAACTCAGGTTCGGCCATACTGTTTTCCTGTGTCAGACTGTGTGGGTCAAGTGTACAAGCATGTGTTTTTCAGAGCACCTGAAAAACATTGCCACTAAAATTTGTTAACATTCCAGTCTCCACTGACCAGATTGGCAGAAACAAATTCAGAAGCTGAGTCAACCTGAGAAGGAGTAGGGGATGTTATCGTGGATAAGATACAGGAACCAACACTGTTTGCATGGAAAGGCTAAATGGATAAATCCAAGAACAATGGAATGCAAAGCGATGGAATGTCCTCCAATGAGTCAGACCTAAACTGAATCTCTTACTAATTTTGACCAAAAGTTTCTATTAACGCTTGAAGATGTTCTCTACACTTTTGAGAAACACAAGACCACCCTGAATTTTCATCCTCTGATCACACAAAATAATAGACTTGAAGTACAAAAGGTCTATGAATTAGGATACATGTGACCATATGCTCAGCACTGTCACAAGTTACGATCGTCCAGCCTGCTTTTAAATGGGCTGGCTTTATAGAAATCCTGATAAAATGCTAAGACACATGGGAGAAACAGATGCAGAGAACTGTCCTTGTAGGTCACAACAATGGCCACAGACATCTTGATGTATATGGGGATACATGACAAAGGTCAGAGATTAAGAAGGAACAGGCATTCAAAGCTGCCTTGTGGCAACTCAGGAAAGAGTTCCGGGTGAGGGAGGACTATGTCATGGCTGCGTCTACATGCGTATCCTTTCTTGTTCTGCTTAACTGGGGGAGACTCCTTACGGATCTCCATCACTTGCATGGCAATGACTCTGTAAGAATTCCTCAGTACTGATTTATGGGGCTGACCACATTTTCCATAAACTCAAAATGACTACATCCAGGCATGTGCTCGTGAACAAGAGTCACAGGTTCTGAATTTTTCCTTTAAAACAAAAACAAAAATAAAAATCACCTAATTACATTCTCAGTTACATTCTGAATGGTTTCAAACACATGTTGACCTCACAGAAACCTGGCAGTGCTCCCTTCTCCGTTCCTGTGTGCCCCATCCTCCCCACAGTTAACCCACCCGAGCCCTACAGATGCAGACAGGGGCCCACCAACAGAGCCTTTGAGGCTGCCTGCCGAAAGGGCTGAGCGGCTCCAGCCTCTACCACAGAGTTGAGGGCTGAGGTGAGGGGAGGGGGGCCGAGCCCAGAGCCACACCCTTCCCTGGGACTGGCGCCCACCTCCTCAGAGCGGTCCAAGCCCCAAGTCAGGGAAAAATGTGAATAGGCCCACAGCAGGAGACACCACCCTGTCTTCCTTTTGCTTCCTGGGGTGGGCTCACAGTCCATTGTTCCTTGGTACCCACTAGGAAATCCCTGAGCCAACATCCAACGTCAAGTGCCAGAAGAAACCACTTAAATAGCAAGCCAGCAACACATCTGATCTATAATGTAAAGAGTGTGCTAAGCATTTGCTGAAACCATCCCCTGCTTCCACGATATAGCTACGCTATGCTCTTTCTAAAACACACATGTGAACGTGGCATTCTGAGGCTTCGGACTTGAAAAGACCAGGAAAAAGCCCCCCCACAACTAGCTTGATTTAGAAAGGCTCCCCTAATTTTAAACAGAGACGTAAGGAAGCTTCAGAAATCAGGGTTCGTGGAACCCAGTGGTTTTCAACCTGGTTGCACATTGTGATAACCTGAAGAGCATTCAAACGCTGATACCGGGATCCCCTCCCCAAGGGTTCTGTTTCATTTGTCTGGGATGAAGTCTGGACATCGGGGATTTTAGAGGCTCCCCAGGTGGTTCTAATGGCAACCAGGATTGAGAGTCAGTGATCTGGTCCAATTCCCTGTTTTTCATCCAAGACTGAATCTTCTCTTTCCTTCTCCATCGATTTGGAGGCAACGGTCCACACTGCTCCAGAGACCCGACGCCTGTGTCTCACAGGCGTAAGCGAAATGGATGATTACCATGTGCGTGGGCTTCCACCAGTTCCTTTCCTTCCAGGAAGATGGTTAACACAGATTCGGGTGGCTATCTTATTGTTACTGCTTGGGGGGAAAGGATGGAGAAAAGGAAACGTAACTCTGCCTCACATGTTGTTTTCTTTTTTTCCCTGGATAGAATTCAGTCAATATATTGACCAGTCTAAACCCTCTCCAGTTGTTTTTACCTCAGCTTGAGCCATCCCCCTTCACGTGCTCTGGGAGGGACCGGCAGGAGTTGGATGTCTTCTTTGTTTTCAGCTGCCCGGTTTCTCCCAGATCTGACATCAGGAGGCCGGTACATTCCATGACTATCAGCAAGAACAAAAAACTAAGGCACATTCTGAGCTTGTTTTGCAAGGCTGGGCCTCCTTGCAGTCAGAAGAGACCCAGGAAAAGCACACACATAAATGTACATAAACAACGTTTGAAACTTATTTGAAGCTCGGCCCCAGAGGTTGTGAAATCCTCTCCTGGAGCTCCAGCCTTGGGCTGCTGTCTGTGCCGCGGCTTCCAGGAAGGGAGCTAGGCGGGTCACGTGGGCACCGTGTCTCCCTGCTGTCACTGAAGCCGGAGTGAGCTGGGCAGGTTATCTCTGAGGGTAGAGAGCGTGCTCAGCCCAGTCCTTTGAAAGCAGATGAGCTTCCCGTAACATAGGCAACTCAGAGAAAAGTGTCTGCATTCTGTTTCTCTCTTTCTCTTTTCTCCATTTTCCACATTCCCTGCATTACCTCTTTCTTCTTCCCTCTTTAACTTGGCTGCCTTCCCTCAAACACTCTTTGATCAAACATCTATTGTACTCCCACTAGGAGCCCATCACCGGGCCAGTACTAGGGATACCGATTAGAATAGGACTGAATTCTGGCTTCCTGGAGTTGAACTTAGGACGTGGAAGAGAAGAAAGGGTCAAGTATTGTATTAACTGCAGACGGTTATAGAAGCACAGACCCATTCACAGCAACTTTGGGAATGATGTTGATCTCTGTTTACAGAGCAGAACCTGAGGCTTAGAGTAGGTTATTAACTTTCCGGAGGGCACACTGCTGCTAAGGGGCAGAGGAGGGGCTTGAATTCGGGACTGTCGGAAACTAGGGATTCCTCAAGTCCTTTATGCATTTGACAGATACTTGTTGAGCACCTTCGGTGAGATGAGCACTGTGTGTGAGCTGGCTGCTCACTTGCAGCGTCCTTGCTCTTGAAGATCAGGGACAAATGGTCAAGTCCCCAAACATGGCCCATGTGAAAGGCTGTGTGATGGAAATGAGCACATGAGGTGTGAGGGATACACCTCACGTGGGTGTGAGGGATACACCCAGGAAGGGCATTTCACCAGACTGGAATAAAAACCGAATTCTAGAAGTGACATTGAAGCTGAGAGTGGGAGAGTTAAAAACAGACAGTTATCCTAGTGAGAAGGACCCCAAGGTGGCCCTGTGGCACCTGCTGGGAGACCCCAAGA